TTGCGCATTTGGCTGAGAGAGAAAGGATTCAGGCTTTACCGATCTCCGAGTGGTGGCCCTTACATTGGGCGACAGAAATTGACCAGCATGCGCGCCCTATGTCTTGTCTCGCTCTGGCTGCTCTTGAATGGCCAGAGGCATTTGACTCGCGCGCTGAACCCATTGAAGGTCGGATTGAAGGGGAACGCAGCATGAATGCAGCGAACACTTTCGCGCCAACTCTTCGGACATTGCGCGGCGCAAGAACGGGAACAGCATCCTGGCTGCCCGTTGCCCAGGGCACCACTATGGGCGCCACAGGGCCCAGCCCTCGTGAACGTCCACCGGTTGCTTGGGCAAATAATTTTGTGGCACGTCTTCGTCGCGCTTCCCAGTCCGTCAGCGGGCGCAACAAAATACGTTCTAAACACCCTCTCAGTTCGGAGAAACCTGCCGCCGGTCCAACCGTGACGGCAGGTGATGAGAACGTAGAGATGACCCTCGATTTCACCGCAGTCTGCGGGTCCCAGACCCAGCAGATGCTAGGCGGGAGGATCAATCTCGATCAGCCCGATGGATTCGCGTACTCTCATCGCGATGACAGATCGTTGAGCATCGCGTTGACCGAGAACGCAGCCATTGATGCGGCGGCTCATATGTCATGGAGTACACCAGCTATCGCCCGGATACAAGCGAGCCTGAAAGGTTACAACTGACGGGTGAAATAACGCACGATGTTCCGGAAGACGTGCGACAGACAATTGTATAGAATTAGAGAATTCTTGTTCAAGAACTGGAGTTGGATCTCCGCATCATTCGCGTGATCGCGATTCTTCGTGCGTTCATTAGTTGTTTCATTGCCGAGGGATATTATATTGCATACCCTTCGGAGAACTGTCTTGCTCGCGGCACAGGCGCAGAGTACGATGATGACGAGCGTCGAACGGATGCATGCGCGCTTGATTGCCGTATTCGTGCGGCGATCGAGACGGGCGACCTCATTGAGGAGTGGGCCCATGACTTGGGCAGACAGGGTCGTGCCGATATCCGTCGTCAGGGCACGAAGCTGCAAGGAGCTATCTACTGGTTATATCCATACGTGGAAGCAACTGAGCTCCAAGGCAAAGATGAAAGCCCCTTTCGCTGTGCCTGTGGCAAGTTTGGTACTTTTGTTGCTACCGCCGCAAGGGATATTATCAGACACGCTAGAAAGCAACGAGTGACGAGCGCTCGTGAAAGGGGAAGCGCTGATGGGCCCCCCGACGGCCAAGCCGATACGGAAGGGATCCCCGTGGCGAAAGCGAGGCCCAGCACAGCTGTTCGCCCCGATCCGCCCCCTCCCCCCCGTAGACCCGACGTTCAAGACGATCGGGCAAACGATGACGTCACTGAATATCCTTACTCTGCCGGCGGTCAAACCGGCGCGGCAGGAGATGAGTACTCGTGGCATTCTTCCGACAGGGACACATGGGATTGGTCTAGGCCCGCTCGCGCGCGCGGCGGGGCCATGGCTGCCGGGCGCGCGGCCGGCGACTACGACCTCGCGAGGCACTGCCCGCGCTACGCGGATGGTGAACTGGATGGATACTGGGTTCACCGTGACGTGATGCACTGGATGAATCCCAGAGAGAACCGGGATCGCGCGTGGCATCTTGTGCACCTGAATGACTACAATTACCACTTCCAGAGAAGGGAAAAGGATACTCCAAGAACAAAAGCAAGAACAAGGACAAGTACAACAGGTCAGCTCCACGTTGGCCGTGGCAAGGGACACAGATCAGCCTCGCCCTAGTGGGCCGCTGATCAGATCAGGTGGGAGGCTCGTCGACTTCACATCCGAGGCCTCCGTCTCCGCCATCGGGTCGATATCTTTAGCACAAGAAGTGGGAGAAGGCAAAGCCCTGGCGACAAAGTCGCCGCGGGCGAGGCCGAGCGACAAAGTCGCTTCGGCAGAGAATTGATTTAATATTGGTGAGATTCGTCGGGTTTCTCCGGCCCTCAGCTCCCTGGCAACCACCGTTGAGCGGTAAAATACTTTTGGGGTTCGTTCCGGCGGCTGTAAATATGTGCAGGCCAGGCGAGCTGTGGCTGGATGGACTCTACGAAACCCGCCGCGGGGGGAGTGCATATGCCCCTCCCCGCCTCATGCTGCACTTGCCTCTCTTGCTGCCTGCCTTGCCACACCTTGACTCTGCGGTACCATCCCGCAGCTATCTTGCACTCAAGCGAGAAAAGGAGCGTGCTGCCGCGCGCTCGCGCCCGGGCGTCTGCCGGCCGGCCTCCTCCCTTCCTATACTTGAGTGCAGTTGCTTAACGGTTTCTTGTAGTTTCATCGATGTCTCATCACGTATCCTCTAGTACTGAGCAGAGTCAACACGAGACCTTAATTCCTTTGTCATCTTACCCCGATTCTTAGAGGAAATACTTTTTCACTATCCGAGCCTGCCGGCCGGGGACTCGAGCGGGAACTCTTCCGACGAGGGCCCGGGCAATTTCCCGGCGGACGAGGCGGGAGGCCCTGCGGACGCCGGCGAAGACAGTGGAGACGAGCAGGAGACTCGACGGATGCCTGTCCCCCCAGGCCCGCGGTTGCCCCTTCTGGAGAGAGACCTCCAGGCGGAGGCGGCGCGTCTTCGTGTCAATCTGGGGCACCCCGCCCAAGAGGCTCCCAAAACCGTCCCAAAACGGCTTGAGAGGCCCCCAGAAGGGCACCAAAAAGGCCCAAGGGAGCCCCGAGACGGCCCCAGAGCCGCCCAAAACGGCACAAGAGGGCCCCAAGAAGGCCCCAAAAGGGGCCACGAGAGGGAACGCGAACAAAAAAAATAAGTTCGCCGCGCCCAGATGTCCCCAAGAGGCCCCAGAAGACCCCCAGGGAGCCCCCACGAGGCCCCAAGAGGCCCCCAAGAGGCCCCAAGAGGCCCAAAAAGGTTCGAGAGGAGCCCCGGGACGGCCCCCAGACGGCCCCAGAGGCCCCCAAGATACCCTTGAGGCTTCCTCCGTAGGCTCCAGCTTCTTTGGCTCGGGCCCCATTTGGGCTGGGCGGGGACGCGCCGCGCCGCGCCGCTCCCGCGGCCGCCGTCGTGCACGATGGGCCGCGCCCCCGCCCGGCCCGCGGCGCTCCGCGCGCTGCTCGCGATCGGGCACCTGTGGAGCACCGCCAGCGACGCCAGCGCAGGCGCGACCAGCAGCTTTCTTGCAACCAGCACTTCAAGCGCGACCAGCAGCATTACTGCGACCAGCACTTCAGCGAACATCACAAGTGGGAGCAGCCGTAGAAACTTTGCCAGCGCGGCCAGCAGCTCTCTTGCGACCAGCACTTCAGCGAGCAACACAAGTGAGAACAGCATCAGGAGCGCTGCCAGCTCGACTGTGGCAGGCGACACCACCGAGGTGGCCACCGAGCTGCTCCAAGGCGACATGACCAAGGTACCCGCCGTGACGGGGACCAGTATCGACACGTGGACTGTGGCAGGCGACACCACCGAGGTGGCCACCGAGCTGCGCCAAGGCGACATGACCGAGGTACCCGCCGTGGCGGGGACCAGTGTCGACACGTGGACTGTGGACGCCGACGCCACCGAGGTGCCCACCGAGCTGCTCCAAGGCGGCATGACCGAGGTACCCGCCGTGACGGGGACCAGTATCGACACGTGGACTGTGGCAGGCGACACCACCGAGGTGCCCGCCGGGCTGCCCCAGGGCGACATGACCGAGGTACCCGCCGTGACGGAGACCAGTATCGACACGTGGACTGTGGGCGCCGACACCACCGAGGTGCCCACCGAGCTGCTCCAAGGCGACATGACCGAGGTACCCGCCGTGACGGGGACCAGTATCGACACGTGGACTGTGGGCGCCGACACCACCGAGGTGCCCACCGAGCTGCTCCAAGGCGACATGACCGAGGTACCCGCCGTGGCGGGGACCAGTATCGACACGTGGACTGTGGACGCCGACACCACCGAGGTGCCCACCGAGCTGCTCCAAGGCGACATGACCGAGGTACCCGCCGTGACGGGGACCAGTATCGACACGTGGACTCTGGCAGGCGCCACCACCGAGGTGCCCACCGGGCTGCTCCAAGGCGACATGACCGAGGTGCCCGCCGTGACGGGGACCAGTATCGACGCGTGGAGCGAGAGCAGCAGCACGAGCACCACCAGCCCGACCGGCACCAGCAGCGCCAGCCAAATCTCTGCAACTGGCACGTCAGGGAGCAGCGCCAGTGAAATCAGCAGCACGAGCCGTACCAGCACGTTTGGAACCAGCAGCGCGATCCTTCCATCACCCCTTACTGCGACCCGCACGTCAGCGAGCATCACAAGTGAGAGCAGCAGCACGAGTACCACCAGCTCGACTGGCACCAGCAGCGCCAGCCAAGTCTCTGCAACTGGCACGTCAGGGAGCAGCGCCAGTGAAATCAGCAGCACGAGCCTTACCAGCATGTTTGGAACCAGCAGCGCGATCCTTCCATCACCCCTTACTGCGACCCGCACTTCAGCGAGCATCACAAGTGAGAGCAGCAGCACGAGTACCACCAGCTCGACTGGCACCAGCAGCGCCAGCCAAATCTCTGCAACTGGCACGTCAGGGAGCAGCGCCAGTGAAATCAGCAGCACGAGCCTTACCAGCACGTTTGGAACCAGCAGCGCGATCCTTCCATCACCCCCTGGCGTGACAACCAACACGGTTTCTCAAGGCCTCGTATGGCAAACAGTATGTCATTCATTTGACAGCGAAGCGTGCGCGGGCATGGCATTTGGGGCGCACCCTGACGGTGCCGACAATTCTGGCTGCAACGAACAATGTCTTGATTGGGTCGCTCTCCGTGGTGTCGTGGATCGCGTCACGATTATCAAGGCGATCGATTTGAGCATGGACGCCATGGACCCTCTGCTGCTTCTGGGTCTTCGAATATTAAAAAGATCGCAAGATCGTATCGGAATTTCCCAAGTTTCAATGCTGTTCCTCTGGGGGGCACCTGCTCTTTCGTCGCGGACGTTCTCTTGCCGGTCGTGAAGATGGCCACCTTAAGTTCCTCGGCTGGCATCGCGGAGGCGTTTGTCAGCGGCAAATGTTTCGAAATGGGTCAGGGCTACGAGGACATGATCTACATCAAGGATGCGCTGTCCGGGGCATATAACAATGGTGTCGGATGGCTCCAAACTGTGGCGGGGATCGGTGCTTTTTGGTTCAACCGTCAGAGCCTCAGAGATGATGAGCGGGTGCGTGACGCTGTCGCGAGCGTGGCCTTGTCACTCGCCGCGTTCGCCGCAGACCTTACTGACTACCTCGGGAACACAGTGGTCCTCATTGACAAGTTCGACACCATCGAAGAAGCCTTCCTGGGCGATGGTACTTTGTCCGACGGCAGCAGGACCGTGATGTTTTTCCGGGGCTCTTTTGACGAAGCAGGTGCGCGGGTGAACTTGTGGTCAATCGTCGGCATCTGCATGGGTTGCATGGCAGCTTGATTTTTTTTTTCTGGGGTTGTTGTCTCCGAGTTGCACTTCCTCAATTGAGTGAGTGCGCGAGCCTTCCCGCATCGCTGCTCGCTCTTCGCATGCTCCGCACTGGCTTGACGAGACCCGTCGAGCGTAGGGGAGCCCCTCCTACTGATAGTGCGTCGAGTAATTCGGAGTAGTGCGTCGAGTTGCAGGCACCGCCGGCCCACGTTCGGAACGTGGTTGTCTGGGGAAGTCGTGTGCCGAAGCGCTTCAGTTCACATCTGTCCTCTTTGCCGCTTGCAAACGAAACATACACAAGAGGCTTCCAACATACACATATACCGAAGAGACGTCCAAGACGGCCCGAGAGGGCCCTGACCGCGGCCCAGGATCGGAAACGTGAGCCGAGAACCCGAGATCGTCGCCCCAGGGGACCCCCAGGAGGTTTTAAGAGATCCCCAAGAATCCCCAAAGAGGTCCGAAAAAGCCCCGAAAGAGGCCCCGAGGGCACTTGAGAAAATCGGGACGTCCAACATTATTTCAAAGTTCGCCTGGCAGGTTCGCTACGATTGTCAACAGGGAAATCTCAGATTCCCTCCTCCTCCTCGTCCTCCTCGTCCTCCTCCTCCTCCTCCTCCTCTTTCTCCTCCTCCGGTTCCTCTTCCTCTGCGGCCTCTTCCACCCTCTCCAACTCTTCCTCATCCTCCTTCTCCTTCTACCCCGGGGAAAACCCTTCACCTCCCCTTCTCTTCCATTTTTTTCCGGCTACGTCCTTCCGCGGCGAATAAAAATGCCCCCGAAGTGCTTTGTGAGCCTGTCTTAATCCAGACGTCGTGGGTGGACCGTAAGAAGTCTTGGAAGCCGCTTCGGCCGTCTTCGTGGTTCTTGGAAGTTCTGGAGAAGAAGTGTCATGGAATAGAGGTCCCCAAGAGTTCGACCATCCAGCATAGCTGGATCTTGAGCGCGCGCGAAGCGCGCGCGATGGTTCTAGTGTGTGTGTGGTTGCGAACTGACAGTTCGGGTATTGCGACAGTGTGGTTGCGTGGTCTCAATACCCGACAGTCGGGTATTGTGACCACGCAAGCCGTGTTTGTGTTGCAGCGATTTGTTTCGCAGGGGTCGAGGAGGAGGAGGAGGAGGAGGGGAAAGGGAAGGAACTGACGCAATTGGAGGGTGCTTTTTGTTCATGGGGAGGAAGGGAAACAAAAACAGACATAGCGACTGGAGGGCGATGAGTCGGCGACTTGGACCAGAGAAGGCCCTGTGCACCAAGCAATTGAATGCGTTCAAGGTGGACGACGGAGACAAGCCGACAGGGCGGACGGCAGGACGGTTTTAGGCTAATATGTTTTCGCGCCGCCTGTGCTCCTTGTCCAGTCTGCCTTCTCCTGCGCAGTTTTACGGAAGCTCATCCGAGCAACATTCCGCATTCCACAATTCAATTGTGTCGCTTGTGTTTTTAACGATCGTATGCCAGCAGTCTGCACATTTCCATCTCCAAATCAATCCCCGAACAGTGTTTGCACGAAGACTTACTAAGGAGTTCTTATTAGTTTTCTGGGATAGTCGGATCGGTCTTCCCGGAATGCGCCTGGAGGGCGCCTTTAGCCGCCCGCCGCCGCCGCCCGTCACCGCTTTGTGGCCGCCTCTAGGTTTAAGGTCCCTGGACCCTCGAGATCTTTGAAATTATGTAACACATATGTTTCTTCTTCGCTGTTTCATTATATGTTCGTCTTCGTTCCAGAATCTTTCAGGTGTCGTTCCAGTTACGTTCCAGTTGCGTTCCAGTTTCGTTCCAGTTTCGTTCCGCGTTTGTATGAATCATTGTCCAGCTTTGTCCCAGGGCTAAACTTGAACAACACTGTGACACTAATGCAACGATCATCAAGATCGCGTGCGTCATTGAAGGGTCCAGTGACCTTGCACCCAGCGTTTCGCTCCGTGTGCGTTTGCGGCCGCCCGCAGCCGCCCCTCGTGCGTTGGTTGTCTTCTCGATGCTCGCTCGGTGGGCGCCCGTTGCCGCTTCGACGCCGCCTCGTGCGTTGGCTGCTGGTGGGCGCTCTTCTCAACCTCGTCATCGCCTAGCGCGCTGACCTCACTGCCTGCACCGCACGGAATGTGCCACATGGACTGTACCATACTCGCCTATACCACACAGCTTGCACTACACAGATTGCACCGCGTATCTTGCACCACATGCCTTCCATATCCAGAGTGCACAGTTTTACCATTTTCAGTCCACGCTGGCAAGCATTCAGCTTAGACTGCACTCACCTTACTTGAGTCCATATCTTTCGTTCTCATCGCTTGGCTGGAACGCTCGCATCAGCTTCTCCAGTGCCGCCTTGTTTTCCCCAGCACCGATGCAGTCAATATCTGATCGCGTCCACAGCACGCGTTGGTCTCACCCCCCTGCATCGTCTGGGGGAGTCGCCCTGCCCTGATTGCGGAGAGTAGCACTCAACGTCAGCTTCTCAAAAGGTTGTTTCGCAGATTCAGCCCGTTTTTGTTTTCATCCTCTGTTGGCAACAACGGGAATGAACCAGGGGGACGGAGGGGGAGGATGGCGCAAGTAATTTCACGACTCGCGCTGGCACCGATTCGCTACATGCCCCTGGCCATTCCCAGACGACGCTAGCGAGATGCGTGACGCTGCCGGAGGGAATGGGTGGGTGGGTGGCCCTTGTGACGCGCGTCATCGCTAAGAGTTCAGAAAGCGGGATCTTCTCGCAAAGCTTGAAGTTGAGATTGCCGCGGCAAGGCTCCAGAGCCTCGGGACATCGTGTGGCAGAACATGGCGCGCAAGCGGTCGCGGAGGCCGCCGGTTTGCCGCGGGAGTACGGTAGGTTTGCGTCGTGTCGACGGGCGGTGGCCCCGCCGCCCGCATTCAACGTTGAACGCCGCCCGCGACCAAGAACCGGTCGATGTTGAACAATCCGACTGTTCGGAAACAGCCGATCAGTCAAGGTTGAACGATCCCCGTAGTGTCAGAATCCGAAGCCGAAGTCGGCACGACACGAATTTGCTGTAGGGTAATTTCACGCTGGTGCAGCAGATCTGTGTTCTCTCCGAGTGCCCCCGACGCCCAAGGCGCCGAGGTCGAACGAGTGCTGGAGTCGAGCAGTGGCGAAAGCGTCCAGGCTTGCATATAGGCCCACCAAAGAATGTTCTAAGGACCTCTGGTGGTTTGCACGACATGTCATTAGAACGCTTCTGGCTGAGACAAGTTCGTTTTACTACGTGGGCTTCAGTTATAAAGCAATGTTGTTGTTATAGTTTGGCTCTTTCTCCCGTGTTCTGACTCTCTCTTTGTCTCTATCCCCCCTGTTGTTCTCTGCCGCTCTCTCTTGTCTATCCCCCTTATTTGCAAACAACTATATTTATCAACATATGTATCGGAGGTTGCGGGTGAGATCGAAGTGGAACGGAGACCCCTAATCGGGAAATCGTTTCGTTTCGTTCGTGTCGTGCGTGCGGGCGAGGCGAAGCTGCGTGGGCGCGCGAGAGGAATGAACCCACCGTTGCTAGGGCGAAGTCAAGACAAATGATGCTCCTCCGCCTTCCGTCCGTCCGGCGGTGGCCCGCGGTGTCCCGTGGTGTCCCGCCGTTGCTAGGGCGAAGTCAAGACAAATGATGCTCCTCCGCCTTCCGTCCGTCTGGCGGTGGCCCGCGGTGTCCCGCGGTGTCCCGTTGTGTCCCGTGGTGTCCCGTTGAGTGAGATCGATATTGCGATCGATACTGAGATCGATACTGAGACCGATACTGATATCGATACTGAGATCGATGTGGTGCCCCGAGGTGTCCCGTGGTGTCCCAACAAGTGAGATCGATAGTGAGATCGATATTGAGTCGACAGGTGTCCCGTTGTGTCCCGTTGAGTGAGGTCGATAGTGAGATCGATAGTGAGATCGATGTGGTGTCCCGAGGTGTCCCGCGGTGTCCCGTGGTGTCCTATGGTGTGCCGTTGAGTGAGATCGATAGTGAGACCGATAGTGAGATCGAGCGGTGTCCCGCGGTGTCCCGCGGTGTCCCGTGTGTCCCGTTGAGTGAGATCGATAGTGAGATCGATAGTGAGATCGACAAGTGTCCCATTGCTAGGGCGAAGCCAAGACAAATGATGCTCCTCCGCCTTCCGTCCGTCCGGCGGTGGCCCGCGGTGTCCCGTGTGTCCCGTGGTGTCCCGCCGTTGTTAGGGCGAAGTCAAGACAAATGATGCTCCTCCGCCTTCGTCCGTCCGGCGGTGGCCCGCGGTGTCCCGTGGTGTCCCGTTGTGTCTGGTGGTGTCCCGTTGAGATCGATACTGCGATCGATATTGAGATCGATACTGAGATCGATACTGATATCGATACTGAGATCGATGTGGTGCCCCGAGGTGTCCCATGGTGTCCCAAAAAGTGAGATCGATACTGAGATCGACAGGTGTCCCGTGGTGTCCCGTTGAGTGAACTCGATAGTGAGATCGATAGTGAGATCGATGTGGTGTCCCAAGGTGTCCCGCGGTGCTCCGTGGTGTCCTATGGTGTCCCGTTGAGTGAGATCGATAGTGAGATCGATAGTGAGACCGATAGTGAGATCGAGAGGTGTCCCGCGGTGTCCCGTTGTGTCCCGTGGTGTCCCGTTGAGTGAGATCGATATTGCGATCGATACTGAGATCGATACTGAGACCGATACTGATATCGATACTGAGATCGATGTGGTGCCCCGAGGTGTCCCGTGGTGTCCCAACAAGTGAGATCGATAGTGAGATCGATATTGAGTCGACAGGTGTCCCGTTGTGTCCCGTTGAGTGAGGTCGATAGTGAGATCGATAGTGAGATCGATGTGGTGTCCCGAGGTGTCCCGCGGTGTCCCGTGGTGTCCTATGGTGTGCCGTTGAGTGAGATCGATAGTGAGACCGATAGTGAGATCGAGCGGTGTCCCGCGGTGTCCCGTGGTGTCCCGTGGTGTCCCGTTGAGTGAGATCGATAGTGAGATCGATAGTGAGATCGACAAGTGTCCCATTGCTAGGGCGAAGCCAAGACAAATGA